TACCAGACTCAAAATGATGATTCGGTTTGTCTCAGCACAGATGTTGCACAAATCTGCTGAGATTATCCAGCATTTTCTGTTTTTGCTTTAAATTCCCAGCATCCATGATATTGTATTTATACCTGGCCAAGCTTTTAGGACAACAATAAAGCAGATAAAGCTATGGGTATACCGTTCTGGTAAAATCTAACATAGTGCAAGATGGAGAGAACACAAATCCTATTCACATATCACCCTGTGCTTACTGATCTCGATTCTGAAACAAAAACAGAAATTGCTGGAGAAAAGGGTCACTGGCCTCAAACTGCTAACTCCACAAATGCTGCCTGATCTGCTGAGTTCTCAAACTGCTAACTCCACAAATGCTGCCTGATCTGCTGAGTTCCTCCAGCAATTTCTGTTTTTGTTTCAGATTTCCAGCATCTGCAGTTCTTTGTTTCATATTAAATTCTAGTCTGCCAATAATTCTCTCTCAAAAATACTTATCCATGGCTTCAAATTCTTCAATTGTCTTTTCCCATCCCCATCGCTGTAACCTGCTCCACCCCTAAAATGAAGATCTGTGTTTCTCCAATTTGGTCTCTCGTGTATCCCTGATTAACATCGCTCCTCCATCAGCAGCTATTCCTTCACTTACCTCAGCCTCAAGTTCTCTCTGTAAATCTCTCTCTTCCTTTAAAATGCTCTGTAAAACCGAAGTCACTTGCAGCATTTTGTTAATATACACTAAAATCTCTTAACATGCCTCAGTTTCAAATATTGTTTGCTTATATTCCAGCAAAGCACCTCAAGAGGTTTTATGACATCAAAAGTTCTATATTAACAGAGGTTGCAGTACTAAGCTAGTGTTGCTACAAGGAACTTTCACTGCAAGATTAGATTGGCATTCAGATCGTCCCATGTTACATGCTCCAATGAGTAGCTCCCTCCTCCTCTGTCCCAGTTTCTTACAAACAGATGGCACAGAGGATGCTACAGGTTCTGCAGAACTGGGACTTTCAGGGAAATTACTAATAACAGATGTTCTGTTGTGCTCAAATCAATTAACAAACAAAACACAGGGTCTTCACTTACTCATAATTGCAACCCCTCTCACACCTCCCCTACACATGTACAACATTCACAGGAAGCGATGGGGGTTGGCAAAGGTACTCTTGAAGTACCTGCCCCACGTGTAACTGAGCCGGTGATAGCCAAATTGGTCTCCACAGTTACCTATGGTGGAAGAGTGTTACCCTCGTCTGCAAGGGACTGCTGATGATGACTAATGGACTATCAATCATTTATAAGAATCGAGTGGAACAGGATTCACCAGGTTTTATAGCTAGCGAGTCCTTTGGTGTGGTGGCAGAGAGAAAGCAGACGCTTTACACTGGCGTAGGCTGCATGCAAAACGCAGCTGCTTCCCCAGGAGCACAAGTGACATCATGCAAAGGTGAAGAGATCGAGGAAGATCCCATAAGTAGGCGGGAGCAGCCTACAAGACACGAAACCATGAATGACGTTTTAATAATTCTTTAAGGCATCAGTACTGGTGTAACGTGGAAGCACAGCAATCATACTGTGCACAGTAAGATCCCACATACAACAAAGTGAATACAGGCATAATCTGCATTCAGCATCAGTTAAAGGGTGGCTATTGATCTGGACATTGGGAAGCAATCCCTGCACTCTTAGGAACAGTGCTTTTAGGCCCATCCTAATGCACAATGGGCCTTGGTTTAACACCTTGTCAGTGGTGCTGTCTTTCAGACAGGACTGAGTGAGGGTTGCATTACAATGGAGGAGCGTCGACTTGAATTACATGCCCATATCTTCTGCTTCATTGGGTCTAATTCCCATTTCTGATATTTTTATTTCAGAAGGTATTTACTGTAAACTCTGCTGCAGAATGTAGGCTGCACTGCAAACCCCTGTAGGATAACCAACCTACAAGAATAAGTCATTTATTGGGAATTAATTATAGAACTATCTAGGACACTGACCCACAGCTCGACTCCAGACAGGTAGAGAGCTAATCTGAAAAGGAAACTGCCGCAAAGAATTTTTGATACAGTTATGGGAACAAAAAAAAGGAGATTAAATGTTAGAATCCTTCCAAAAGATATTTTTAAGAGAAATTAGCATTTCACATTTGATTCAAGTAAAGTAAACAATGTGTTCAGTAAACACTCCTCTGCCGAGATACACAGAATTAAGTTATTTGGAGTTAAAAGCCACAGAGTTTTACATTTGACGAGGAGTTTGAGAAAGTTGCAGATCGGCATTTCATAAAAGCATTTTAAGCTCACTAAGCATATACTTAAAAACAAAAGCGGCCTTGAAGCAAAAGCTGACAGATCCTTAACTCCTTCCTGAGACATTGCTGCACCTTGTGCACTACAAAGTCTGCTGTACTACAAAGTGTTCTTCCTGATAACAGAAAGGATTCAGCATTTCCCATTTACTGAATAATCTATGAATGTGGATCACACTGTTTGAAAATTCAGCTTTATGAATTTATGAGCTGTATTGACTGAACAAGCAGGAAGATTAACATTACTCGCATCAGAAGTTCTTTGTGATTTACCAAATGAACAGAAAATTGCTGCCTAACATGAATCCTCCCAATCAAGGGCCAAGTCCAATCACTAATGCTTTTTAAATTAAACAAAGAAGTTAATCATTGCTGGTTTGTGTGAACCTATTTTAGAGAAGGTTTTATCTCAGAAACACAAATGCCTCTCTTAATGGTCCGGGCAGTAAAAGGATTCCTGATGTACAGACTACTCCTCCCTTGACATTAAAATGTATTTGCACGCAGTTTCATCACAGGTCTTACCAGTGTCTTAAGGAAACCATCCAAGACCAAGCCACAAGACAGAATGCACCTGAAGTTTCTACATCACAATTAGCTGATGATTACTCTCTCCTGCTATATTGAATGTAGTCCCTGCCTAACATCACTGTGCCAGCAAAATCAACAAGGACTGTAGTGATTCAAAGAGGCAACCTCCAACCACCTCAACGTTAAACAGTGGGAAAAACAAATGCAGCCTTCCCAGACCTCATGAACAAGTGAGGTGGATGAAAAAAAAGGATTCAGCATGCCTACCACGTTACTGTTTAAAATGCAACAGAACCGGCTCAAGTGATGCTTCGAGATAGTAAGAACTGCCGACCCGATTTCTGAAGAAGGGTCCAGACCCGAAACGTCAGCTTTCCTGCTCCTCTGATGCTGCCTGGCCTGCTGTGTTCATCCAGCTCCACACTGCGTTATCAAGTGATGCTTCCTCCAGTTAAGTATGCCACTGTTCCATCAAAGGAAAGGACACAGGCTTTGACTACAGACACTGCACCAACACAGCAGGCATACTTATTCCAGTGTGACAAATGCCTGCACACAACTCCATGCATGGATTTGCAATTGCTCCAAAAATCACTTCTCCAAATAAAAAAAAGTAAAATATTGTAGGTACTGGGAATCTGAAATTAAAAACGAAGTGCTGGAGACATTTAGAAGATCTGGCAGTGTCTGTACAGACAGAAATAGAGTTAATATCAAGTCCAGTATGACAACACTTCTTCAACTCCACATCCTGGCTGTGGGCTGCCCCTGAAATCCAGGGAAGAATCATGCACATCAGTGATGTAAAACCTATTTCAGTCAGTTTGCATCAGGCAAACAACTCAGCCCGAATGTTGCCACGTATACTGCTGCAAACAGTGTCAAGAGCAGGACTTCACCAGGCAAGCCTCCTTTCAAATCTTAAGGAAAAGATTTGATCTTCCTCGGTGTCCAAAATGAATAATGATCAGTGGACTCAAAATACTTAAAGATCCAATTCAGTTAAACCAATGCCACGAGGACATACTGATCATCTCCGTCAAGGTGAACTTCAGCAGAACTATGGAGGACTGCAACCAGATAATTCCACATTACACACAGGCACGTGTACTTTCTGTGAACCTGATATCTACACCAGACAGCTACAGCAGAAGCGGCACAGACAAGTTGGGAATGGTCAAGACTGGAAGTAAGGTGAATTCAAATGATACAAGCAAATCCTTTTAATTAACCAACCATAAAAATCAAGATAATTAAGCACAATCCACTCTTGATCCAGTTTCCACATATGCCCCAAGTATCCATTGCAAAGTACGTGCATGGAGAACCTGACCATTCTTTGTTACTGGGATGTTTCAGCTAAACACAGCACCAGCATTGCTGGCTCCAACATGGGATGCAGTGGCAGAGTGGTAATGCCATAGGACTAGTAATCCAATGCCCCAGCCTAACATCCTGGAGACATGAGTTCAAATCTGACCACAGCAAGTGGTGAAATCTGAACTTGATGAAAATCTAGAATTAGAATTGTAATCAAATTGTCACAGTCACCCATATGGCTCACCACTCAGGGAAGGAAATCTGCCATCTTTACCAGGGTAGACCTACATATGACTCAGGCTCCTTACATTGTCTTTTAGCTGCCTTCAGAAATAACTTAGCAAGCTCAGTTGAAGTGTATTTAAGGATGGGCAAATTTAACACCGATCTTGCCAGCAATGTTCATTTTACGATTAGCCAGCACCGTACAGATCAGGAACTGAATGGAGGACCAGTCTATAAGGTAGATACATCCATTTGGCAGTCAATGTGGAGGTGGTGGGGGGGGGGGGGGGGATCAGATCTGAAGTCGCACTGCACCTGTTACACATCGGGAAGGCAGTCAATCCACTGCACCTAGGGTAACCTTATCATTCCTCCCCAGTTTATCAGGGGGAGGGGAAAGGGAAAGGGGCTGATGGGCGAGTGAAGTGGGGAACAGAAGCACCAGCCTGATGCGGCACGGAATACAAACTCAGCTCTGCACGTGTGGACACAAACCTCCCTCCCAACCCTTGACCCACTTTCTCGGATTCCTCTCCGTTCATCCCGCACAAAGCTCATCACTACAAAGCCTCACCGTTATACACGGCCGACAACTCCAACCTCCCCCACCCGCAGGTACAGCACTCACTGTTCCATAGCTTGGTGTTCAGTCCCATCCAGCCTCGTTACTCCGAGGGTCAGCGGCTCCCCATTGCCGTCCTCTTCCAACTTGACAAAGCCGGGTACCGTGGACCAATGTGTTCTGACCCTGTGCCAGCCGAGTTGCAGAAGCTCTGACTCAGATTGCTGCCAAGCACGCTAACAAGGTCCTTTTATCAAATAAACGCAGCAGCCCTCTCAAACAACCCCACAGCTTCTTCAGGCTCCAGGGAAATCCTACAGTTCGTGGGGGCGGGGGGGGAAGGAGCAGCAGATATTGGAAACCACTCCCAGAAGCAAAGAGGGAACCTCGAAGCTTGGCCACCTGCAAGTAGGTCAAAGCTGCAAACTCCGGTCCCTCTCTTTGCTTCCCCCCCCCCACCCCCCAACCTTGGGTGGGGTATGTGTGGAGCTGGAGGTTTCTGACTGCCCCAGTCCCGGGGTTTGAAAATTCCAGAGAAGCTCCTCTTCCAGCTCCAATAAGTGGGACACTCTCCGTCTTTCTTTTGGCGCAACCTCCACCAGCCACTTTTTGCCTCTTCCGCGTCCGCTCGCTCCTCAGGTTTTTTTTCCCCCTTCTCGACCTCGCCTCGTCCTGTCAATCAAACCGAACCCCCCCGTCCACGGATACAACAGCCAATGGGGCGAGGGAGACAATGTTTCAGCCAATGGGAAAGAACTATAGGTAGTCAGCCAATGGTAAAAGAGTTAACATGTTTCAGCCAATGGAGTGAGGGTTACAATGTTTCAGCCAATGGAGTGAGGGTTACAATGTTTCATCCAATGGGGAGAAGATTATAATGTTTTCAGCCAATGGAGTGAGGGTAACGACGTTTCAACCAATGGGGAGAAGACTACAATGATTTCAGCCAATGGTGTGAGGATTACAAGAACAGAAATTACTAGAAAAACTCAGCAGGTCTGGCAGCGTCGGTGAAAAGAAAGCAAAGTTGATGTTTTGACTCCAATAGACCTTGTCTATTCACCTTATCCATGCACCCCATGATTTTATAAACTTCTTTAAGGTCACACCTCAGCCACCAACAGTCCATGGAGAAAAACCCAGCCTATTCAATCTTTCCCTCCAGCTCAAACTTTCCAAACACGGCAACATCCTCGTAAATCTTTACCAAACCCTTTCAAGTTTAACAACATTTTGCCTACAGTGGGGAAACCAGAATTGAACACAGTATTCTAGAAGTGGCCTCACCAATGTCAGATACAGCCACAACATGACATCCCAACTCCTATACTCAACTAGGCTAGAGACAAACAAAAAAACTGCAGATGCTGAAATCCAAGGTAGACAAACAGGAGTCTGGAAGAACACAGCAAGCCAGGCAGCATCTGGAGGAAATAGCAGTCAACAGTTTGGATATTATCCTTCTTCAGTCCATCAGCCTTCATTGGTCAGTGCATTGAGTATAGGATAGTCCCGAAGAAGGATTATACCTGAAAAGTTGACTGCTCCTTTCCTCCAGTTGCTGTCAGGCCTTCTGTGTTCTTCCAGCCTCCTGTTTGTCTATCCTAGACACAATGCACTGACCAATGAAGGTAAGCATGCCAAATGCCTTCTTCACTATCCTGCCTATCTGTAACTCCACTTTCAAGGAACTATGCAGCTGCACTTCTAGTCTTTTTGCTTGGCAACGCTCTCCAGGGCCCTACCGTTAACTGTATAAGTCCTGCCCTAATTTGCCTTACCAAAATGCAGCACCTCACATTTGTCTAAATTCAACTCCATTTGCCACTCCTCAGCCCATCTGATCAAGGTCCCATTGTACTCTGAGATAACCTTCTTCACTGTCCACTACACTACCAATTTTGGTATCATCTGCAAACTTACTAACCATGTCTCCTATATTCACATCCAAATCATTCATATAAATAACAAAAAGCAGTGGACCCAGCACCAATCCTTACGGCACACTGCTGGTCATAGGCCTCCAGTCCAAAAAACAACCCTCTACCACCACTCTCTATCTCCTACCTTCAGGACAATTTTATATCCAATTGGCTAGCTTCCCTGGGATTCCATGTGATCAAACCTTGCTAACCAGTCTACCATGTGGAACATTGTAAAATGCCTTGCTAAAATCCATACTGACAACATTTATTGCTCCGCCTTTATCAATCTTCTATGTCACTTCTTCAAAAAACTCAAGTTAGTGAGACATGATTTCCCACACACATAGCCATGTGGACTATCCCTAATCAGTCTTTGCCTTTGCAAATGCATGTAAATCCTATCCCCAAGAATCCCCTCCAACAACTTACCTACCAGTGACGTCAGCTCACCAGTTCATAGTTTGCTGGTTTTTTCCTACCACCCTTCTTAAATAATGCAATGACACAAATAACTTAGCAAGGGGCCCAGTAATCTCTTCCCTAGCTTCCCACAAAGTTGTGGGGTACACTTGACCAGGGTCCAGGGATTTACCTACCTTTATGTGTTTTAAGACATCAAGCACCTCCTCTGCTGTGATATGGGCACTTTTCAAGATATCACTGTTTATTTCCCTAAGTTCCCTAACTTCCATGTCCTTCTCCACAGTAAATGCTGTCATGAAATACTCATTTAGTATCTCATCCATCTCCTGTGGTTCCACGCATAGACGGCCATGCTGATTTTTACCCTATTCTTTCCCTAGTTACTCTTTTGCTCTTAATGTATTTGTAGAATCTCTTTGGATTCTCCTTACCCCTAATTGCCAAAGCTATCTCATGTCCCTCTTTGCCCCTCTTATTTCCCTCTTATATAGACTCCAACTGCCCTTAAACTCCTCTAGAGATTCACTCAATCCCAACTGTCTACACCCGACATGTGCTTCCTTCTTTTTCTCGACCAGAACCTCAACTTCCCTGGTCCATCCAGCGTTCCCTAAACTCCCAAACCTTGCCCTTCACATTGACAGGAACATACCGTCTCTAGACTTTCGTTATCTCATTTTTGAAGGCTTCCCATTTTCCAACCATCCCTCTACCTGTGTATAGCCTCTCCCAATCAACTTTTGAAAGTTCTTGCCTAACATCAGCAAAATTGGCCTTATACCAATTTAGAACTTTACCTTTTAGATCTGGCCTATACTTTCCCATCACTATTTTAAAACCAAAATAATTATGATCACTGGTCCCAATGCTCTCCTCCACTGACCCCTTAGTTATTTGCCCTGCCTTATTTCCCAAGAGTAGGTCAAGTTTTGCTCCTTCTCTAGTAGGTACATCCACATACTGAACAAGAAACTTTTCTTGTATACACTTAAATTCCTTTTCATCCAAGCCCTTAACACTATGGCAGACCCAGTTTACGTTTGGAAAGTTAAAATCCCCTACCATTACAACCCTATTATTCTTACAGATATCTGAGACCTCCTTACAAATTTTCTTCTCAATTTCTATCAGTCTACTGGGGGCATATAATACAATCCCAAAAAGGTGATCATCCCTTCCTTATTTCTCACTTCTACCCATATAATTTCACTAGATGTTCTCCCAGGAATATCCTCCCTAAGTACAGCCATAATGTTATCCTTAACTAAAAACGCCACCTCCACCCCCCACACCACCCCCCATACCAACCCCCCCTCCCACCCATCCTTCCTATAGCATCTATAGCCTGGAACATCAAGCTGGACATCCTGCCCTTTCATAGAACATAGAACAAAAACATAGAATATAGAACAGTACAGCACAGTACAGGCCCTTCGGCCCATGATGTTGTGCCGACCTATTATCCTGCTAAGATCATTAAGCCACATTCCTAAGCCACATTTCTGTAACACCTATGATATCCCGGTCCAATGTTCCCAACCATGCCCCGAGTTCATTTTCTTTACTTGTCAGGCCTCTTGCATAGAAGTAAATGCAGTTTATCAGTCCTACCTCATTCTCTGCCTTGCTGTCACCTGCCTTAATTATTAGACTTGCTTCTCTCTACTGCACCAGCCTCAGACTTATCTCTTTTCTCCCTACCTCTTTCTGTCCCACTAAACCCCCTGTCTTTACTAGTTTACAACCTTCTGATTAGCACCAGCAAATCTCCCTCCAGGATATTTCTCCCCTTCCAATTTAAATGAATAGGCCCTTGACCCTCCAAGCCTGTGCCGACCATCATGCCCTACTTAATCTAAAAACAAACCTGACATTTTTCGATCAGTATCCCTCTATTCCCTCCCTATTCATGTACCTATCTAGGTGCCTCTTAAGTGTCTTCAATGTACCCACTTCCACCACCTCTTCTGGTAGTGCATTCCAGGCTGTTACCGCTCTGCATGAAAAACTTCCCTCGCACATTTCCCTTAAACTTTCCCCCTTTGACCTTGAACCTGTGTCCCCTTGTAATTGAAACTTCAACCCTGGGAAAAAGCCTCTGACTATCCACCCTGTCTATGGCTCTCATAATTTTATAGACTTCAATCAGGTCTCCTCTCAGTTGCCGTCTTTCCAGTGAAAACAATCCTAATCTTTTTAACCTTTCCTCCTAGTCAATGCTCTGGAGACCAGGCAATATCCTGGTGAACCTTCTCTCACTCTCTCCAAAGGTTCCACATCCTTCTGATGGTGAGGTGACCAAAACTGCACACAATACTCCAATTGCGGCCTAACAAGGGTTTTATACAGCTGCAACATGTTTTGCAATTCTTGTACTCCACACCCTATGCCTTCTTAATCACTTTGGCTACCTGTGTTGCCACTTTCAGTGAACTGTGGACCTGCACGCCCAGATCCATCTGAAAGTTAGTGTTCCTAAGGGTTCTGCCATTTACAGTATAATTCACACCTAAATTTGATCCTCCAAAATGTATCACCTCACATTTCTCTGGATTAAACTCCATCTGCCATTTCTGTGCCCAAGTCGCCAATCTATCTTTATCCTGTTGTATACTTTCACAATCGTTGGAACTATCAAAAACTCCACTAACCTTCGTGTCATCAGCAAACTTGCTCATCAACTTGCCCACATTTTCCTCCAGATCATTCATATATACTACAAACAACAGAGGACCTAAGACTGACCCCTGTGGAACACCACTAGTTACTGGCCTCCATCCTGAAAAGCATCCTTCCACCACTACCCTCTGGCTTCTGTGACCAAGCCAGTTTTCTATCCATCTAGCCAGGCCACCCCGAATCCCTTGTGATTTTAGTTTTTGTACCAACCTGCCATGTGGACTTTATCAAATGCCTTACTAAAGTCCGTATAAACTATATCCCTCATCAATTAGAGATAGCAGGAACTCTTCGACCTGTCTGTTTCCTCTCCACCTATCTTCTCCTCTATCCATCTTCTATCCGCCTCTCCCTCTCTCCCTATTTATTTCAGAACCCCCTTCCCCTCCCCCATTTCTGAGGAAGGGTCTAGGCCCGAAACATCAGCCTTTCTGCTCCTATGATGCTGCTTGGCCTGCTGTGTTCATCCAGCTCTGCACCTTGTTCCCTCATCAATTATCCTCGTTACCTCTTCAAATAATTCAATCAGGTTAGGGAGACATGACCTTCCCTGTCACTAACTAATCCATTTTCCTCCAAATGCACATATACTTTGTCCTTCAGTATCTTCTCCAAGAGCTTTACCACCACAGACATCAAGCTCACCAGCCTA